GAGCAAACCGCTGCTCCAAACCGCTGATAACCAAACATGGTTTCCGTCAAAACGCCAAAATGGTGGATCCGCCAAAAATTGGGCGGATCCGCCATTAACCAAACAAGGCCTTAGTATTTATAAGGTTTCAAGTTTAATTTATTACCGCTTAGACTAATTTACTTTTGTCTATTAGTATGTTTAATTTAAATCGGTCAACAATGACTAATCTTTGTAATCTTTTATCAGTTAGGGTCACAATCCGGTCTTCACCCACAGCGCATATTCCAGTAACATGTTTTAGCATTTCCGTAAATCAAAGTTCAATTTCTATTATGCGAATAATAAAAAGGGAAGTATGACCTTGTTGTAGGCACCTGGCAACCAGTTCTCCAGACTAGTGGGCACACTTGAAATTATTATTATTTATTAAAAATTTATTTTTCAAAAAAAAAAATCAAGAAGAAGAAAAATAAGCAACTATATCATCTAATAGAGCTGTCAAAACGAGCCAATCCAATCCTATACGGGATACCCCCGAGATGCCTCGTCTCGGGTTTATCTAGAAATGGGCCGGGCTAGCCCATTTTTACACAAGTTGAAATTTTCCAACCTGTGGTTGGATTATTATTATTTTAAATTTATATGCTAAAATATTTGAGTTTTTGTATAACTTAGTAATCAAACTCTCAACATTTAAGTTAACAATTAACACTGTTTCCAATCAAATACATTAAACTTTTTAAACAAACAACATATATGTCTATATATATACGCGTACACACACATTACACATATAATTAGATTTTAATTTTTAAAATGTAATTATAATTTATTCACTTTATATTTAATACTAATATAGTTTACATGTACTATTTTTTATTTTGTAATTGTAATATTATTAAATTATAAAGTTTTAAAAAATATATAGTTTATAAATTTATATAATTAATTTATATAATAAATAAATTTTATATTACTTTGTAATATTTATATAAAGATACAATTAATTGTATTAATTAATACTTGTAATATAAATAAATTTTATATATAATGCTTTTGAATGATAGAAATAAATATATAATTATATAAAGATAAAGATATTCAACAAGTATTCTTAGCATTGTTGGTTTTAATGGTGTTAAATTAATTGAAAGGCAGGGTCGGTTTTTAGATTTTTGTGACCCTGTTCGGGTAAATAAATAAGGCCTTATCAAAATTAAAATCTTTAAAACTAATACCGTAATTTTATTATCTAAATATATAACAAAAAAAATTATCCGTGCATCGCACGCACATTGCACGCGCATTGCATGCGCACTGTAAGGGCATTGTCTGAGACTGAGAAACACCTCAAAAACCTCTTTTTAAACTTGAGTGTTAGTGAGAAATATAATTCAATTTCTAATTACTGTAGGTGGTATATTCATGATGCCCGTCTTCCAAGCCGAGCTTAATTTCGAGTGCATGGTACCATAACACAAAAATGACATACACAATCAATTTTTGTGATGCCCTACGTGGGGGAATGATATATTTCCCCATTTTCATTTATATTGGGGACTCTATTTTGGGCATGTCTGGGCTTGGTGGTGCACTGGGCAAGGTGGCTCAAAAGGTGGCCCAAGTTCACTTTTATTCTTGGATCCTACTGTTATCAGGTGGTGCTCTCATGTTTGCCCTGGAGGCTCCACACCCCATCAAAAGTGCATTGCGGTTTTTTCTAATAGGGATGGACATTGGTATGGCTCGGGCGGTAAGATGTTGCACATATTTTATAATAATAACTTGACACTTTTGTGTCACTTTTAATGTTAATTGAATTTAAACTAATTATACTAATCATTTGCAGGATATCCCTATAATACTCATTCGGATGTCTCCCGACCATAATGGAGATGTTTTAGATAGGACATTTGATCTTTCTTTTGTATTTGGGGGATTTTGTGTGCATCGCACGCGCATTGCACACACATTGCATGCACACTGCACGGATAATTGGACAATTATTTGCTCGAATCGTGCATCGCACATACATTGCACGCGCACTGCACGGATAATTGGACAATTATTTGCTCGAATTCAAGCAAGGATAACATAAAAAAAAATAAAAGAAAAAACATAATCGATACAACTCATTTCATCAAATGCACTATATAATATTCGTTGTTATAATTTAAAGATTATAACAAATCTTTTCCGTGCAACGCACAGGTAAAAATAGACATATTATAGAATAATAATAGTGTGCACAAGTTTTGAACCTTAGACCTCAAAGTTAAAATATAATAAATACATATTGCTACCATTTCTTTATAAAGCTTTTTAAGTTTAATTATAAAAAATTTTATTTTTATTTCTAAACTAACTAGGTAAAAATAAAATATTGAGCTTCTAAAATTTGGAGCCCTGTGCGGTAGCCCAACTTGAACAGCCCAAAATCCGGACCCGTTGAAAGGCTAATGGTTTGATTGTTGTTATTAACAACATTTTAAAATATTAATGCAACACCTAATTACTCAAAATAAATTTGAGGGAGGGTGGAGGGTGGGGGGTGGGGTGGGGGTTATGGATTATACGGGTTGGCCCGTTAGAAATGGGCTAGATTGAAAATTTCAACTTAGCCTGTATAATACATGTTAAGCGGGCCTAACTCAGCGATTGGATCCGTTTTGACATCTCTATCACCTATATGTACATTTGAAAAAAAAAAGATAATGGAAAATTAGAGCAATGAAAATTAGAAAAATAAATTTAAAAAAAAATCTGAAGAAAGAACAAAAAATACAAAATTGAAATGATCCCAACAAGTTTCATTTAAAAAAAAAAAAAAAAAAAAATTGGTAGAGAACAAGTTTCATTTCTTTATTTCTACTTTTTCATGTTATCAAATAATAGGCCTAATGGTGAGACACTGAGACCGGTATAAAGCTGAGGGCAAATTATATTATGCACCGCGCGTCTTTTTTTTTTTTTTAAATGAAAATAAATAGTGTTAGTTTCCGCCGTTTCGCACCCTTTTACAAAAAGTAACTCTGTTATTCAGTGTCATTTTGTATACACTGCAGTTTCAGTTCAACACAACTACAGTTTCATTTCGATATAACTATAGTTTCATTTGATATTTATAGACTCAAATATGTGAAAATGTTATTTAATTTTATTTTATATACACTATAGTTTCATTAAAACACAACTACATGATTATTTTGATATAATTACAGCTTCATTGTACAATATACACTCAAATATGTGAAATGTTATTCAGTTTCATTTTATATACACTACAGTTTCATTTCACTATAACTACAGTATCATTTTGATATAACTGCAGTGTCGGTTTAGATATATTATAGTGTCAGTTGGTGTTTAATACACCAAACAAGCGGACTCCGATAACTCTAACGGCGGGCCGTTTCTTCACTTAAAGAAACGGCGCCGTTTTTTACCGCGGTGCATGCACCATGGTCTATAATATAACGACTGAAAGCTGAGAAAGTGGGCTTAATTATGGGCTATTTCTCAGATGGGGCGGTAAAGACCTATGTATTGAGTAATAATAAGAAACCCAATAAAAAATTAGGTTCAGAACTCATAGTTTGGACCTTAGTATTTACAAAGATGATGGCCCAACAAATAAGGCTTAAAGCATGCACCACGGTGCATGATCAATCATGCACCGCGCGTCTTTTTTTTAAAATAAAAATAAACAGTGTTTGTTTTCCGCCGTTTCGCATCCTTTTACAAAAAGTAACCCTGTTCTTCAGTGTCATTTTGTACACACTGCAATTTCAGTTCAACACAACTACAGTTTCATTTCGATATAACTATAGTTTCATTCGATATTTATAGACTCAAATATGTAGAAATGTTATTTAATTTTATTTTATATACACTATAGTTTCATTAAAACACAACTACATGACCATTTTGATATAATTACAGCTTCATTGTACAATATACACTCAAATATGTGAAATGTTATTCAGTTTCATTTTATATACACTGCAGTTTCATTTCACTATAACTACAGTATCATTTTGATATAACTGCAGTGTCCGTTTAGATATACTGTAGTATCAGTTGGTGTTTAATACACCAAACAAGCGGACTCTGTTAACTATAACGGCGGGCCATTTCTTTACTTAAAGAAACGGCGCCGTTTTTTACCGCGGTGCACATGCACTGCGGTCTATGATATAATGACTGAACGAATAACGCTATGACAATAATGACCATGGACCTAAAAAATAAATAATTAATTAATTAATGACATGAAATTTACTAAAAAATTTACAATAACTATTTAAATATAGGCAAATTATCATGTGGACTCGGATCTATCTTGCAAGGTAAATTCGGATCTAAATATACACAATTTACCTACTACATATTCACAACTTACTTTTTATAAATTTACAATTTGTGATAACCCTGTATTGTATTTCCAAATTTCCAAAATTTAGAAACACAATTTATATTCTACAATTGCCTAGTCAATAGATTAGAACTTATTACTTAGTCAAATCAAGAATTAATTTATGACGAAAAGTGACAATAAGAAGAAGCATGTATCACCCCAATTAATAAAAGTTTGTGTTGTAAAAACTATGTTTAGGGTACTATTCAGTGAGTATGTTTCATTCTAAAAATTTTATTGCACCAATTAATCTATCATTTATGTCACAGGTCATAATTATGCATTTTTGAAATATTTATTTTTATAAAAATTTTGATACTCTGATATTCTGATATATGTCAAGATAAAAAATGATACTTTGATAAATTTTGAAATACTAATTTAAAAATATACATTGAGTATCGCGCGACATGTACGTGGTAACTAGTAAATTAAATAATGTATTAAAATTCAATTTTTTTTTTGAATGCAAACTTCAATTTGATTAGATGAACAACTTAGGCTATTTCAACACGGAAGAAGTCTGTGGTCAGGAAATTCCAGAACAAATTAAAAGTCCTAACTACCAACTATATATTATTTAATTTAATGGGCGCGAGCTTTTGAAGGCCGCTAAATCGTCCTTATATTTTGTTGATCCAAGTCGGTTAAGCACCACTATATATACGCTTCTCAACCCTTGGGTTTTCATTGTCCTGTTTCTTCAAATCAATCAATCGCGACAAATCTCTCTCTCCATATCCCTCCATCGCTCGACACCTAAAGCCTCTCTCAAGGTAAGTTTCTTCATTCATCGTTTCTGTATCGAGTTTTGTTCATTTCCGTCTTGATCGATTGTTTCCGTTCAGATCTGATTATTCAAATCGCTTCTCTCTGATCTATGTATCGTATTTGACTGAGAATTTATTGTTCGGAATTTTGATGTTTGTATAGGGTTTCGATGCATGAGATTGTGAATTTTTTTATAGATCGATGTTATTGTGTAATTTTGCTCTGATCTGTCTTGTTTGACCAAAACATTATGAGTTGAGGTTGAGTTTATAGGGTATGAAAGATGAGATTCATTTCTGCGATTGAATACAGTTATATAGATGTTTGTGCATGCATATGTCTACCGATTTTGATTGTTGAAACTAATTTTGCGGTTTGATTCGGGTATTAGGTTATTTAGAATTTTTTTTTTTTTTTTTTTTTTAAATATTTGTTTGTTCTAGAGTTTGATAACGTGGATTATTGATCTTGTTCTTGATTAAATCAGGATAACATGATTTTATTCCAATATGTGGTGCTTTTATTACTTGAATTCTAAATTTAGACTTCAAATGATTTAACTACTGTTCATTACCTTGCCTAGTCAATAGATTAGAACTTATTACTTAGTTCTATTTGAATGAGATTATGAATTTTTTACATGCTGGTTTTACAGTATATTACCTGGAATATTGAACTTATCCATAAATTTCGAATAGTGTGAATTTGTTCATTTATTAATTTATAATCATTAACAATTTCTTGCTTTCCAAATTTAATGGATTATGTTGGTACAGGTTTTCAAAATCTAGAACCAAGATATAAAAAAATCATAGCCTCATCATTTAAGTTGGATAGTTGAACTGAAACTTATGCAATACATGTGTATACCATTTGGGTGACATGAAGCTTTTAACTACTATTTTTTGGAATACGTAGTAGGGCTTTTGGAGTTGTAACTCTTCTTAATTATTGCAGATGCAGATCTTTGTAAAGACTCTTACTGGAAAGACTATTACTCTTGAGGTTGAGAGTTCCGATACCATTGATAATGTTAAGGCAAAAATCCAAGATAAGGAAGGAATTCCTCCAGATCAACAGCGACTGATTTTTGCAGGAAAGCAGCTTGAAGATGGCCGTACACTTGCAGACTATAATATCCAAAAGGAGTCTACCCTCCACCTTGTCCTTCGTCTGCGTGGTGGTATGCAGATCTTTGTGAAAACTCTAACTGGCAAGACCATCACCCTTGAGGTTGAGAGCTCAGATACCATTGACAATGTAAAGGCTAAGATTCAAGATAAGGAAGGAATTCCTCCAGATCAACAGAGACTGATTTTTGCTGGAAAGCAGCTTGATGATGGACGCACTCTTGCAGACTACAATATCCAGAAGGAGTCTACCCTCCACCTTGTCCTTCGTCTGCGTGGTGGTATGCAGATCTTTGTGAAAACTCTAACTGGCAAGACCATCACACTTGAGGTTGAGAGCTCAGATACCATTGACAATGTAAAGGCTAAGATTCAAGATAAGGAAGGAATTCCTCCAGATCAACAGAGACTGATTTTTGCTGGAAAGCAGCTTGATGATGGACGCACTCTTGCAGACTACAATATCCAGAAGGAGTCTACCCTCCACCTTGTCCTTCGTCTGCGTGGTGGTATGCAGATCTTTGTGAAAACTCTAACTGGCAAGACCATCACACTTGAGGTTGAGAGCTCAGATACCATTGACAATGTAAAGGCTAAGATTCAAGATAAAGAAGGAATTCCTCCTGACCAACAGAGGCTTATATTTGCTGGAAAGCAGCTTGAAGATGGCCGTACTCTTGCAGACTACAACATCCAAAAAGAGTCCACCCTCCATCTTGTCCTCCGTCTGCGTGGTGGCATGCAGATCTTTGTGAAAACTCTTACTGGCAAGACCATCACTCTTGAAGTTGAGAGCTCGGATACCATTGACAATGTGAAGGCTAAGATTCAAGATAAGGAAGGGATTCCCCCAGATCAACAGAGGCTGATTTTTGCCGGAAAGCAGCTTGAAGATGGCCGTACTCTTGCAGACTACAACATCCAAAAAGAGTCCACCCTCCATCTTGTCCTCCGCCTGCGTGGTGGCATGCAGATCTTTGTCAAAACACTTACTGGGAAGACCATCACCCTGGAGGTTGAAAGTTCAGATACCATTGACAATGTGAAGGCAAAGATCCAAGACAAGGAAGGCATTCCTCCAGATCAACAAAGGCTGATTTTTGCTGGAAAGCAGCTTGAAGATGGTCGTACACTTGCTGATTACAACATCCAAAAAGAGTCCACCCTACATCTTGTCCTCCGCCTTCGTGGTGGCATGCAGATCTTTGTCAAAACACTAACTGGGAAGACCATCACACTGGAGGTTGAGAGTTCAGATACCATTGACAATGTGAAGGCAAAGATTCAGGACAAGGAAGGCATTCCTCCAGACCAACAGCGTTTGATCTTTGCAGGTAAACAGCTTGAGGATGGGAGGACACTTGCAGACTACAACATTCAGAAGGAGTCTACGCTCCATTTGGTGCTGCGATTGAGGGGCGGTATGCAGATCTTTGTCAAGACCCTTACAGGGAAGACCATCACTCTGGAGGTGGAGAGTTCAGATACTATTGATAATGTGAAGGCTAAGATTCAGGACAAGGAAGGGATTCCACCAGATCAGCAGAGGCTGATATTTGCTGGCAAGCAGCTCGAGGATGGGCGCACACTTGCAGACTACAATATCCAGAAGGAGTCCACCCTTCATCTTGTTCTTCGACTTCGTGGTGGCTTTTAAATATCAAGTCTTATAATCTCTTTGCTATACTTCTGTCCTTATTTCAAGACAATCCTTGCAACTGCTATAATATAATTGGCAGTACTTATGTTTCTGTTCTAGAATAATCTTGTTACCAAAGTGGTTTCCTTCTGGGCATTTAATGCTTGTTGGTTTCCTTTTCAATTAATGCATGTTGGTTCTCTGCCCTTTCTGCATGTTTGCCTCTTCTGTTCATTTGTGCGTAGAGATGGCACAAACATTTAATTTATCTAAAAAAAAAAATTATTTTAGATATTGACTTTTTATTTTAAATTGCCATTGTGGTAATTAGTATTTTTATTATTTAATTTAATATATATCCACAATTTTTTTATTTTTTTGTATTAAATTTTTAATGAAATGAATGTGTAAAAATTATTTGTAAATATCTCTTCATATTTTTTTTTTTTTTTTATATTGCAGTTTATCGCGTGTTTAACTTTTTTGGTTCTCAGTTTTCCCCTTTTTGCGTATAGGTTAACCTTTTTTGTCATTAGGAAAAGAAAAAAAAGAAGAGCCTACGGGGCTACAGGATACTCAAATAATGAATTAATTTCGGAGTACTTCATTGTTATGAAACATAAATAACCCCAATCCTTGTAGAGTTACTGATGAGTTGATTGATAAGATGGCAATCCCTTTAGAACACATACATCATTGGTCGTTGGGAATCCAATTTGGTGTTGTGTATAAAATGCCACAGCAACTTTCCAATCACTTTTTGAATGAGCTAAACTTGCAATGGGATAATCTCCATTTGTTGTTCTCTTGCATTAGTTGTAAAGTAACGGGGGCTTTTTTTTATCTTTGTAATGGCTGAGGCAGTGAGGCCACCACCACCGCAAACATGTTGATGGGAAAATTTCCATAAACATCCCATACTTCAATGTAAAATCTTTTTATCCATGCTTTAGTGAATAAATTATTTATAATTTGCCAATTTAGTATGATGGCATGATTGACATCTCGATTATCATTCTGAATGGGTATTTATAGATTCGAATTTCTTGGTGGAGCTTAGATTCTTTGGACTTAAAATGTTTAAAAAAGTATAAAATACTAAAATAGATACTATTTTGTAAAGAATCATGAGTATTTAAAAATTATTTATAATTTAGTTTTTGTAATATTTAATTTGGTGTTAGAATTAAAATTTATATATTTAAAAATACATTAAAAATATTATTAAAGACAATCAAATGTAAGCATAATTGATTTTTTTTTTAAAAAAAAAAGAATAATGACATACAAAATAATTGGTTTGACTAATAAAATACTCGGTAAGTAGAATGGGACAAGAGTCTTTGTTTTAAAATACAAAGTGTATTATTATTGTATAATTTAAGTTAATTTTGTCCTAAATTTATAGATGACAGTCTACTTCCTCATTTGATTCTAGTATTATTGTAGCATAATTATTTTTTGTTCTCCGTTAATAAAATCGTGGAAATGTACATTTAGGTCTTCAATTATGAATTTTTTAAAAAATATTTTCCATTAAAAATATAACAAGTCATCCACTTTGTATAAAAAAGATAAAAATATCCTTGTATTTTACAGAATTTAAACGATTTTGTTGATGAAAGATAAAAAATGATCATGCTACGATAATACTAAGACCAAAGAGTAATGATTTGAAAAAGAAAGACTAAATGTGAATTACCATTTATAAATTTAGGACAAAAAAAAAAATTTAACTCGTATAATTTTTTTCCATAATAACAAAGTTTTCCTTTTTTAAAACCATATTGTAACATGGAGACATAAACCATCTTTAGAGTTCATTTTTTTTTTTATCAGGGGGAGGGGGGGACCCCGGGGCTTTTAGCTATGGCCTCTACGCATCCAAAGTGTGCGCATTCTATCCTTTTCAATGATCTCGTCCACACCAGGGGGGCAGTTTTGAAGATTGCGCCATGGGATACTCATGTTGACACACCAGGAGGCAAGCGCATCTGCACTCTCGTTTTGTTCCAAAAAATGATTGCGCCATGGGATACTCATGATGCCATGGAAAATATTTTTCAAAAAATGATTGCAGAAAATAAATCATTTTTCAAAAAATATTTTACTTTTCTCGAGTTTGACTGAATGTTGAAAAATTATCTTTTTTTTTTTGTTGGTTGGAAGTTAAGAAATTACATTTTTCTATTTTGTCATTTTCCTGAAAATGAATATATTATTTGTTATAATAATAATAATAATAATAATAATAATAATAATAATAATAATAATAATAAGTGGTGTGGTGGCGTCGGTGTTAGTGGTGGTAATAATAATTCAAAAATTAGTTAGAAAAAGGATGAGAGAGAAGAGATATACATGAAAATAAAGAATTCAAAAAAGGTTTTTTGACTAAAAATCTCGGAAGTCATTTTTTTAAATACCAAATTGGACCTTTTTTTTTCATTGATCATAATGAATATTTTTCATTGACTCTATTTTATTTGAATACTCAAACACACAAAAAAAAAATGAAAAATAACTTTCAAAAATCATTTTCTGAATTTTCAATGGACCCCTTATATTAATTAACAACGAAAATTATCAAAATTAAATTCAAAAGAAAATGTGGCATAATTTTGATTATAGGAGTGTCAAAATGTACCGAAATTCGAGGGTTGGCCCACATATGCCCCATTGTGGGGGTGGGTTAGAGTATCCACAGCTGTGGATTGTGGATGGTTTTTTGCATAAGTAAAATCTGGAGCCTGGCAACAAATGTGATGTGTAGTTTTTTCTCAATTCGTCTTCCTGAATTGAATTATTATGGGGTCCACTATTTGATTAATGAAAACAATGCACTAGCATGAGCCCTGTGTGTGGGTGATCGTAGGCGCGTTAAAGGCAGTTTTTTTTTTCTTTCTTTTTTTTTTTTGATTTCTGTGTCAGATTTAATTTTTTTCCTTTATTTCTTTTTTGTTCTCCTTTTTTTCTCTCCTAATCACACATACAAAAACTCATCAAAAATTATAAAAAAAATTACACTATTATGAATGCTCTTAAGTCCACTAAAAGTATGGAGAGGAAAAAGCACGCTAAGCCCTTTCTAAAATTAAAAAATAAAAAATTATTTGTTATATTTGTAGATTGAAATTTTAATAAATCATTAAATTTGAAGTCTCTTTAATCTCAACGAGTGAACTCTAGGTCTCTAGTCACCATTCTAATTTTTTAATTAATGAATTAACTATCATAATTAATATGCTTTGATTTTTCTAAATTTTGTATAGGTGATTATGGTGATAATTAAGATGTTCTCATTCCAAGTGAATTTTCTAAAGTGTAGGCAACTAGGCAATACTATGTGTAATGAATTTGTTATTACTTTTGAGCATCAAAATCGTAGTGTGTTTTGGATTTTAAATTGAAGGTTGGATATGATTTTAATGTATTTATTGCTAGTGTCTTTATTCTTGTAATCCTTTTTAATTGTTTATTCATTAACATTCTTTTCTTGCAACATTTTCTGTGCCCAACGCGTGAGCCAGCTCACGGGGCCCACCAACCCGCGTGGGGCATGCTAGCGTACGTGGTGGAACAGATCGATATGCTTTAACGGTACTAATAAATCAGGTACATGCATCGAAAACATTTATAATTTTCTTCTTAATTTAAATTTATTTTCTATTTGTATTTTTGTACCAATAAATTTAATATATAAAAAAATTATCATTACAAACTCTAATTAAAAAAAAACACTATCTTGAAATCTTTTAAATGATAAATAAATTTATAAGTATATAAAGTTATTACTTGAGGATAATGTTTATATATAAATTAAACTTTGTTAAGTGTAGGCAACTAGGCAATACTATGTGTAATAAATTTTTTTTATTAATTTTGAACATCAATTTTGTAGTGTATTTTGAATTTTAAATTGGAGGTTGGATATGAATTTAATGTATTTATTGCTAGCGTCTTTATTCTTGTAATCCTTTTTAATTGTTTATTCATTAACATTCTTTTCTTGTAACATTTTCTGTACCCAACGCTTGAGCCAGCTCGCGGAGCCCACCAACCCGTGTGGGGCATGCTAGCGTACGCGGTGGAGCAGATCGATATGCTTTACCGGTACTAATAAATCAGGTACATGCATCCAAAATATTTATATTTTTCTTTGTAATTTAAATTTATTTTCTATTTTTATTTTTGTACCAATAAATTTAATATATAAAAATTTTATCATTACAAACTCTATTTGAGATTTTTGTTGAAACACTAATTGAGATCTTTTAATTGACAAATAAATTTATAAGTATATAAAGTTATTACTTTAGTATAATGTTTATATATAAATTGAACTTTATTTTTATAAACATATGAAAATAACATTATGAACTGACTACAACTTAAATGAAAATACATATAATGTATATGCAATTTAGTGTTTATATACTTTAAAGTTTATGTTTATGAATATATAGAACAAATATTCTAAACATAGTACAGATAATGTTAGTAAACATGATGCACTAGTTAACATTGAAAATAAAACGACGTCGTTTTAGACTATGGTCTAACATACATATTTTTATATATATGGACATTTTTGTATAATTTGTATATTTGAAAATTTGTCACCATCAATTAAACAATTTCACAAATTTATAGTTTCAAGTTTGAGTCTCCGTGGTCTTATAAATCCATATAAGATTTAATATGTGTGCACATTTTGAGTAATAATTGTGTGTTTTTTTTTTAAAGAGTAAATACCCAAAATGATCCATCGACTATAGCTAAATTTACAAATTGGTCCTCGACTTTTAATTTCAACCAATTAAGTCCTTAACTTTGCAATTTTAACACAATTTGGTCATTTGTCTATTTGACCGTTTGTTGACTGCACTTTTTAAGGATATATATGTAATTTCATGGTCCATCGTCAGCTTTTTAAGGTTCCGGTTGTATTTCTAGACCGCACTGTTACATTTAAATCCACTGCAGGCGCTGCACCCCATGCCGGAGAGATTATAGCTTTTGATAGATAGATCACCGAAGTCCCTGGAGTGGCTCTTCGAGAAAGCCGTGACTCCAAGCGATGTAGGCAAGCTGAACCGGCTCGGGATCCCCAAGCAGCAAGCGGAGAAACACTTCCCCCCTCCGAAACGGCGCTGTCACCTCCAAGAGCGTTCTCTAAGCTGAACCGGCTCGTGATCCCCAAGCA